CATATCAAGATGAGATATCAACAAATTCTCAAAAGTGATGGTCAGCGAATAGATCTCATGACTGGCTCACTGAGAAGTGTTGGGATACAAGATGGTGAAACACTCACAATAGTAGGTTCTTTTGACTTGTAATCTTGATAGTATTGTCAACAAAGCAATGCTCTTCACCATTTCGGATTTCTCATTTTTCAGAAACACTCTGAGCTTCTAACATGGTCACTACTGTTGAAGATGGAGCGAATGTTTCAAGAAGAAATAATGATGGAGATTAAGAAGAAAATATGTGAAGAATCTCTAACCTACTTGAAGCTACTGAGAGACTCAAACTTCACTGTAGTCTACAAACAGTTCTTCGATAAATTTATGAGGATAGAAAAAAAGCTTCTCATGTTTCAAGACAAGGAACTGGAAGCGATTAAGGTAACTCAAAAAACGCTTTACCAAATGAATTTAATCAAAATTTAGCGGTCTTGTGAGGCTTATTTTAGAAAGAACTGTGGAGATCATGTCAATTTGGCTTTTAGTTACCGTGAAGACGGTTCTAATCCTGGCTGCATTTGCATGGTGCACGATCAATCTGTGATCTCAACGTTCTATGTAAAAACCAACCACAACGCCGGATCATACTCGTCAAGTGAGCTTACTTTTAATTCAAAATTTTCATTGAATGAATTTCTTAGATGCTCATTTTGACCAGGATCTCAGAGAACTGTTTGTATACCAGTATCTCCAAGATATAGGTATAGGAGCGGAAATCCTCTTCCTAGAGAACGAAAGTTTCTCACGTTGGATCATCTACATAGCTAGTAGAGAAATTCCCGGTTTCAAAACCTTGAAATTCATTGAGTTGACCGAACCCGGAAACACGAACGCTTACGCCAATAAAGTGAACATCATGCTCTTCGTTTACGCTGTACTGATGTTGGGTGATCATCACACCGCAAATATGGGGGTCTGTAGCGCGGGTAACCCCTTTATCTTAGACTTCACGATCATCGGAAAGCCCATGACCAGTGTTCATGATCTCTACCGGAAAGTTCGGATGAGTCAGAAAATCAAGTTAGTGAGGTTTATACACTCTTAAACTGTCCGCTCGTTTTAGTGAACATCTTGGTACTATCAACGAGTGTTTCCCAGTATTGTTAGAATATATCCAACAGTCTAATTTCTTAACTAGTTTGGATAGGTCTGTCGAATCTTTCCTTCACAATCAAAAGTTGTTCTTCGATAAAAGTCAACGAGTATTCGAAAAACCTCAGAAGACCGAAGATTTGATGGAATATATAGACAACGTGAAGAGAAATGTTAAATTGTTTGAAGACTACTCGTTAATTTAGTAATTTAAGCTACTTTTATCAAAAAAATACCTTTTTAATCTTCTTCCCACAGTAACCATAATCCTTCATCTCCACTGTTCCTCTCTCTGCCAGAATAAAGCCTGGTATGGTGGTCAGAACATTTCTTGTACTTTGAGAACAATGAATTTTTAAAGCTGAAACAGATGTGTGAAACTATTGATATTGATCTGGTAGCTTACGTTCTCCATTACTTTCCATACGACTTGCAGTATTCACAGTGTCACCGAACAAACAATACCTACAGATAAATGTACGAATAATAAAGAAGTTATCAATCACCTCGGCATCTTGTTTCTTACAATATAGTTGTACTACTGGAAGGGTTGAGAAAGGGAAATCTTTGCCCTCCATCGTCTTTGATCTTATCCTCCATACCTCAGTGCCTGATTTCTTTCACTTTTCAAATCTTAAACGAAACCATAAGCTCCTTCTCACTTCTCTTTCTCACCTGCTACTCTTATCCAATTGAAGAGCTCCTAACACGACAAGGAAGCAGGGAGAACATCTGAGCCCACTGGAAAATAACAATTAAAATAAGAATGTGACCACCAAGACGTACCAAGTTATTACATCCATACTCCGAATTACCGAATTGGAATGCGAGCTCTTAAACTCCTGACAGGCTTCAGGGTTCCTTAACAACAACCTGAAACAAACATTACCGATTAAGAGCTTCATATCTCTACTCTCTGGTTACCTGGGTTGTCTTAACGACTGCAAACGCGCTTCAGATTGTAGAGTTGCAATGAAACGGATGGATTGCCTGATACTGGAGTCTACTCTTGGGACGATGGAAGTGATTCTGACAGCTCTGTTTCCCTCCACGAGATATATAGCAACACTGCAATGGAGCTCCTTGAAGGGCATCAACCCCGCCTCAAACAAGCCACTGAAAACAACACTATAATGATCTAACCTTTAGCTATGCACAGGAGCCAGCGTACTCCCTCCATCTAGTAATTCTTCATCAAGTGGATTCCGTAGAATGTGAACATCGATGAGAATCATCTGTGCAGCTTCTTATGAGACAAACGATCGCTAAGAAAAAACATCTGAATAAATAATGAACACCCGACCAAAATCTTTGTTTCAGTCCTCATCGCCCTGCTGAGAATATCAAGTAGATGATTGCAGCCTGCACCATTCAGTCCTCATCTGATAGTTCAACTACAGCTGTTTCTCTCAATAAATCTGACTTCTACAATCATCGACTAACCTCTTAGATCAACCATAATGGATTTCACAACGTTGAACTCTTTCATGTCTTCATATAGATTGGTGATCAAAGGAACTAAACCAAGTCTTGCCGAGAACGAACCAA